CTTGAATGCAGCTGTAAGAAAATAAACGATGAGTTGTGGTTGGAAAATTAATAAAATATCAAAGACAAAATATAAGTCGTTATGAGAACTCAAACACATGTTTTGTGAAACAACTACGTGGACAAGGTCGTTTAGTAGCATTTGTTAGATGATGAACTCTGTAGTTCGAATCTCCTAAACGATAAAAAAGAAAATACCATTTGTTTTTCATAAATAAGTACCTCAAACTAGACAAAAGACTTTCCCATTAAATTTTTTTCGCTGAAGATAGGAATAGCCGAGGTCGTTAAGTAGCAACAGCAATTATCCAGCTAAAATGGTGCTGTAGTTCGAATCTTCAGATAATAGATAAAAACAAGTTGCATTAGAATGTATAGAACAGTGCAAGTTCGAGATGTAATAACCACCAAATCTTTAGTAGACAAAAGGCATTCCAATTAAAAATAGTTTTTATCAAACGACTAAATAGCCAAGAGCGTTAAGTGGTCGTCGTGGTAGTTGGATATTCTTCGGATCGATCCCAGAAGAAGTAAATGTATGTATATAAAAAATAACCATCATGAAGTTTTTCGAAATTATCAAATGTTAGTTCAAAAAATTAAATTCAGATGGCGGATTGATTAAATTTAAATAGCTATAGTGGAGCGCCTGATGCAAAGGTATTCGCAAAATACTTGGAGCTGTCAACCTTCAACAGTCCTTCCTGAATTAGACAAAAGCGTTTCCAAAAAAATTAGTCTTCTGTATTAATCGAATAGCCGAGAGCGTTTAGTCGTCGACATCACGTTGACTGGCTAAAGGTCCCTCGGATCGATTCCCAAAGACTCGGCTTAAAAAATCGAATCCTAGTTTTTCGGAATCGTCAAATATTAGTTCAAAATATTAAATTCAGGTGGCGCATTTCGACCTTGACACTTAGAATATTTCTGAAAAACAAAAACTCAAGGTTCTTCGCACTTGACTGTAAGAGAGATACATGGAAAAAAAAAAAAGAGGAAATAACTGGGGAAAGAGAGGGGTAGACAAGGGTGATGAATAAGAGAGATGTGGTATGAGACATATTCTTTATTAAAATTCAATATTAATATAATATAGGAATAAAAATAACTTTTATCATCAATAACTTAAATAGCCGAGTGGTTTAAGGGACCGCAAACTCGGTGAAATCGCTCTGGAGGCAGGCACAAGGTGAGACGGATCGAGTCCAGCTGAAGGCGACGACAAGGAACTCTGAAGAAGAAAAAATGGAGCAGTGCTGGTGGCTGGCTGTTGGCGAGCGCAAAGGGTCCTGAAACGAACACACCAAGTGATGGTCAACCTGAGGTCCATGATGCGAGAGGGTTACACGCAGAGAGACACATTGCGGAAGATGCATGCGAGCCCAAAAATCTACCCCAAAAACCACAACATGCGAAAAAAACAACACCAAAAAAGGAAAAAAATGTGAAAAAAAAGCGGAAAAAAGGGAAAAAAAAGGGGAAAGAGGAGGAGGAGGAGGGAGAAGGAGGAGGGAGAAGGGGGAGGTGGGAGCCTAAAAAAAACCCCCTAAGTCCCAGGTCAATTTTTTTCTTTTCTGTTCAGCGTTGAAACTTTTTTATGTTTTTTAGTGTTCCCTCACACCAATTCCCAAAGTCAACACTCGAATGAAATCAAGTCCACGTTGAAATTTTCACAACGAGAAAAAATTACTGGGACTTAGTTAAAATATTTTTTAACTTTGCCCCAATAAAATTTTCTCGTTGTGAAATATTCAATGTGAGCCTCATTCATTCGAATGTTGGCTTTGGGATAATATAGCATGCAAAAATAACTCGTCTGTCTTAATCGAAAAGGTTTCAGAAAATTTGGACTTAGAAAAAAAAAAATTATCTGAAAGAACTTCGAAAAAAAAATTATTCGAAAGAATTATAATCAGAAAATTTGGACTAAGAAAAAAAAATATTCGAATGAATTATTAATCGATGAAATGAAATAATATTAAACGAATCAAAATTGTTTATATGACTTGATAAAACATGTGAAACCTTTACAATTAATCGAGACACAAACAAATACAGTTGACTTGAACAATATTCAAAGCATTGGAAATAGTTATAAAAAATTTCAACAAAACTTATAAAATGAAATATTAAAAAATGCTCAGAAACTTGAAAACTGAATTCGTCGAACATGTTAATATTTAAAAATTGAATGTAATAATTGAATCGAAAAATATACTTGTAATCAAAATTATGTTTTGTGAAATCATTCAAGTCAACTTTTTGAAACCTTAATCAAACTACATCATCATTGATTGCATGTCTTGATCGAAATTGTTTTTAGCAATAAAATAATAAAAAGCTATATTTAGCAATGTAGCAGTATCATCACATAAATTGAAAACAAAATTACTAAATTACTAAATTACAATGAAAGACTTATAAAAGTTGCATTTAATTAACAGTTTGGAAATTCATATTGAGTCTTTTAAGTATTTTGATCAAAACCAGCAATCGTGTTGTCATCAATGAGAATGTGCATGCAGTCAATATCGCTACAGGGAAAACTCATAAATCTCTATACTAGAAATGTAATTTTGAAATCTTTTACCACCGAATAACAAACAACATCCACAAAGCTTTGTTAAATAAAAAAATTTGTGATGAAATAACTTTTCCTTTATGAAATAGAAGAAAATCTTTGACGTGTGAGATATATTTGCTGTTGAAATGCTATCAAGAACAAGACTTCTATCTTGAGTACTATAAATTTAGGAGTTCCACAAGGAAAAATGCCAACTCAGCACTCAAAAAGTGGCTCAACAAATATATAAAACCAAGTTTCTTTCAAGACTTTTAATAATATTAGATTGACTGAAAAATGTAAAGCAAAACCGACTTGTTTTGTCGTTTACTAATTAATAAAAAACTAATTAATTTCAATTATATCATATTGATATTAAAAAATTATAATAAGCCCCGCTTAAATAAATGAAAAGAAAAAAGAATCAATATGTTTTCCCCGCAGCGAACTGTATAAAACTATTTTTATGTTTATTAAACATCACTTGCAAATAATAATAATTAAACAAAGTGTGTCTAATACATCAGATTGATATCACAAAATTGCAAGTGATATTCCATATTTATGCACAAACATCTGCTAAAGTTATATGCAAACAAAGAGTAAACTGTACTTTATTTGTTACCAGAATTACAAAAATGATGACTAAATATAGTTGAACTTACATAATAACAAACATAGCCCTTCATTAAATAAATTAACTAATATATAAGCCGCAATGTAAATAGATTGAAAAGAAATGAATTCTAGCTTTAGACATAAGCATCGGTATCACAAATATTACAATGCAATTGCTTAAAATATATAAATAAATAAACTAGCAGATGCATGTGCATAAAATACAAATCATGCACGAGTCAGTAAATATTCACTGAAATACATACAGGCTGTTTTAATTTATACAAAACAAATACAAGAAAGTCAAAGTCAAAGCTATATGTTTTAAAACATTATCAGAGCATTATTCGTTGTGCAATGAATTTGTTGAAGATTGATACAAAACTCTCTATGTTCTATGCTTATTATAATCTTTGTAATGCATGTGATTAGTTTAAATACATAATCAGTTAGTCTGTGTTTATCCTTCTGCCTAAACGGGTGTTTTATTATTCATATAAATTTTAATGTAAATTCTACAGAATTCCTGTATATTATTCCAGAGAAGTATTCATAGACACGTTGTGTAAGAAGATTGCTTGGACTTACATTGAAGTTTCCACAATGACGCATAGAATTGAATCCAAATCTCCTCCTCAAAAAACCTCCAAAGCATCTGCTAGAAGTTCCAAAGCCAGGCACTTGTAAATCACTACATTACATTACTTTGGACACTGACTTTATACACATAATTTACAATATGCAAATGTCCAAGTGGAGTCTTCGTGACTCAACACACGACACTTCGCGACGAACACATTAGAGAATTTTGTAAAAGAATTGACGATTTAGAATTTGACAATATACAGATATGTTACTGAAGTACTTGCAGCCTTTGGAATCTCACATATATACATATACATATTTGACGATTGCATATATGAATAAATATAAAGGATACATTGGAAGCTGTAAATAATGTATTTGATTATAAAATTAATTAGAATTAAAGATCATAGGTTAAGGCTGAAGAACATCATCACATATCTGCTCTAAAAACATATCATCACACACAAATCTTATGTCAAATTGATAAGCATAATTAGTAGAGCAATTTAGTTTATGATTTGATTAAAACTAATTAGGAATTTAATTAAAAACACTAATTAATTAACGAGCACGCGACTTTTACAAATTTCCCTATAAAAATGGCCGCCATCAAAGACGAACTGTCATGAAGAACTGAAGTGAAGTGAAGTGAAAGTCGAATGCGCGAAATTCAAACTTCAAAACTAAAAATTATCATCGCTTAATATAATTTGTTCTAAAAGATGATAATGATAAATACTTATGATTTTATTAATTTATCATGTAAAAATGAGATAGATATTATAATATTACTTAAGTCGCTTTTAAGTTTCGATTGTAGTTATATAAAATCAAAAACAAATATTAGTGTGAAACTTTTTCTTCCAGCACAAAATATTTGTTTCTGATTGTTCAATTTGAATTTTTATATTAATTTTATATACATTATGTTTTATTCCACACATATATGATAATTAGATGTTATCATGCAAAAATTATACAAATATAAGATAATTAAAAGGTTCATCATACAACAAAACAATTCTCAGAAGTCCATTGTTTTATTTTATTAAAATTTGTATAAATTTTGTCAGTGCAAAATCTTCTATTATTTAATAATTATGTATATATAAAAAGATGTAAAAACATTTATCATTTTAATGTTAAAATACTGCTAGAATTTAAAATAAACTTAAACTAATACAGCTATGTTTTAATAGTAAGAGAGGAATGAATAAAATCCATCTGAACTAAATTTTCTAAATTATTAATACTATATAAAAGATAAGTAGATAGGTAAACAATTTCTGTCGTTTGTGTCACAATATCACAAGCTAACTAACAAACTACGTGTACTCATTAAAAAGTGTGTAAAACTTTTGTATAAAACATTTGTATGCAATTTAAATTACACATTCAAATTCAAAGGAACAAAATTTTAGCACCATTCTTCATTTCTAAATCTAATATTTATAATAAAAAATACTACCTAAACATGAAATTAAAATACTTAAGTAATAATTATTCACGCATTCACAATGATCAGTTTTGATGTTTCAACTGTGCGTGTGGTCAATTGAAATAGTTGGTCCTTAATTTTCATAAAATAAACCGTCGAGTCTTTCCATTTTAGATTAAAATTGACAATTTATATGAGATTCTATATCACAGCCTCTCTGGGAAGCAATTTTTTTTTTAACTAAATTGGGACCAAAATAAAAATAAAAATATTATACTAATAATAATTGAGAAATCTTTCATATCCAATAGTGAATTTAAAATCTGATAAGTACAAATATATAAAATATTTTACCAATTTTATACTTCAATTAGGTTTCAGTCTCTTTTCCTGGTTTTTCAATTGTCGGATAAATTGGTGACATTTCCAAAGTTGAAGGAGCTGATGGTGAGTGTCCTCCTCCGTTTGGAGAATGAAGATTTCTTGCAAATTCGTTTAACACTTCACCAAACAGCACAATGTTCATATTTTGACCAAGAAGGTGCAGAAGAAGAAATCTCCAACCTGATAAATATGCACAATTAGTAAAAATAATTAAATTTGTATTAAAACACTACTGATATGTACAGTGGGAAAATTGAGAGTACTAAAGTCCGCATTTCAACTTCAAATTATTCATAATTTATGACTAAATTGTAGTGAATTTTATCTATTTTTTATTAATGTAAACATTTTATATTTTCCGGAATAAAAATTAAAAGTTATTTGAAGAAAAGTAAAAAAAATGTACCAAATCGATGTATTGCAAATTAAAAAAATACTAAAGTACGCATTTTAACTACAAATTATTCCAAATTTTAATATGGAAGTGTATATAATAGGTTATACCAGATTTTAGTAAAATTTATCAATTTTTTACTGAAGTATATAAAACATAGTGGCACATTGCTGTAGTGTGTTAAGATAGCTAGTGATGTAGAATATATTATTACCTGTGTCTTTCTAATCAAAGTTTCCACATGCTGCATAGAATTAAATCTAAATCTCCTCTTCAAAATAAATTCCCTGGTCGTTGGCATCATCACAACAGCTGCTGAGTAAACTAATGCACATCCGGAGAGCACAGCAAGAATAATAAACCAGAACCACAAGAAAATATAAATCTTTTCATTCAAAATATTCAGAGCCAGCACACATAATGCATCATGCTTCTGAATCGTTCCCGAAGAACCAAACTTGTGGAAAGTACATTTAGTCAACCGAGGGAACACTTGCACCATTGGATCTGATCGATTTTCTTGGTTCATTCCTGAGAAACGGATGACATCGGTACCATAAGTCAAGAAAGCACCACCGAGGAAGAGATCTACAAAGAATATATTGCCAACCTGGAATAAAGGAATGAATTAATAAAACAATTACACTAACAATAATAAGTATAATTATCAATTATTTATTTACCACATTGACAAAGTTCAAGAACTCGCAGAAGAAATATCCAAAGCTGTAGCCATTGTGCATGTGCAGGGTCTCGAGAAGATATCGTACCAAGCGTTGATGTCTTCCACCGCCTTCTCTTCTAGTTTGAATCTGGACACCTCTCATGCCATCTGATATCATTCGTACTTTGCCTTCTTCCCAGTTTTTCCAAATCCAATGTGGCATGTAGAATAAGATACCCTTAATAAAAAAAAAATTAATAAAATTTACTTTGAAATGTGAAAATAAAGAGTAAGAGATAGAAATTAATTTTTAGAAAACTCATATTGTTTTTCTAATGACACACTTTATTAATATTGCTGCTTAAATTTGTTAATTGATTGCTTCTTGTAATTAATATTTTTGAGTACAGAAATATTAAAATCTTGCAACAAGACTAGGATGCAGAATATTTAGATATATTACCTTTGTTTTCCAGATAGTTTTCATAAAATTTGCAACATCTTCAGACAATCGACAACATGTTCAGACAATTTACAACATTTTTGGAATATTTACAACATCATTAGACTACTCACAACGTTTTCAGACAATTTACTACATTTTCAGACAACTTATAACATTTTCAGAACTTATTCTTCAGTGCAATATATCTTTACATATTATGTCTTATTACTTTTTACATTATCTTTTATTACCTGGAAAAACAGCATGAAAGGAACCCACTGATAATAGCTGTGGAACCTCTTCTCTTCACCAGACTCATTTCCGGAACCAGGAAAAGCAACCTCAGACCCCGTATAATGTTGTGCTGCAGTCTTGGAATCGAGACCATAGTGCGAAGGGTGCATTGGTGACAAATGTGTAGTCCCGGGCAGTGTAAAAGTGTACGTAATCCAACAGTATGTGTTGATGACATGGGTTGGAATTGAACCATCGTTTATACATGATATCGGATCACCTGGGTAAAGGATAGTTTTGTAAGTACAGCCTGATGATGATATAAGGTAGTATTTATTATTTACCTATGAGATTGTTGGCAGTGACGATGATGCAGCAGACAAATAAAATGGCAGAGGTGATCCTGTAGTGGCATCGGAAGACAATGTTGTCAATAATAGCCTTGTCGATTAAATAACGAACTTTCACGAAGCCTGCGACGGCGGACACCAGTCCGAAGACGGCCATCCTGGTAAAAGATAAATAATAATTAATAATTATAGTCATACCTCATTTAGAGATACCAGATTAAATCAAATATAACTTTTTTTTTGGAAAACATTGTTAATTCCAAAAATAGTACTTTTCAAAAAAAAAATTGAACAAAATAAAAACTATGAGAAACGCATTTTTATTTTTGCCTTAAGGCAAATTGCATAAATTTCTTGAAATGTGTAAATAATAAGATGCTATAATAATAACTAACTAATAAAAGAATTATGGAATATTAATAATAAGAATTATGGAAATCTTTGATATTCAATTATTATTTTTTGTATAATTTATAATATAATATTTTCTATTTTTTATTTTCTATATTTAGGCATTAATTAAATATAAGAAATGATAATTATTTAAAAGGCAACTTTTAATTAGTGAAGAAGGTGACATTTATTTAAGTTCGTTTAGTTAATTAATTGATGTCAATTAATTTAATTAATAAAGTTAAATTTTCTCTGTTATTGCTGCCCACATATATATATATATATATATATATATATATATATACATATGATGATATTAATGAAGAAGGATGTCTATTAGAATAGCATACTTTTCGAATCTTGGTTCAACCCATCTTCAGTTCATACAAATAAATCAAATAAAACACAAAAAAACGAGAGGTATTAATTAACATATACACATAGTTGAATTAACAAAAAAATTAATACTAAAATGGAGTAAATAAATTAAATTCAAAAGACTTTTTTTAGAGGCACAGTGAGCTTTTTTGTTATCATACATATTCTTATTTTCAAAATGTGCTTGTTATATATCTGAACAGAAAGGAACTTAATTTTTCATATAAACAATACCAGAAAACCTTTAAAAATCAATGTTGAATTCCATTATTCTATTTAATTCATTGAACTTGATCTTGACTTTGAAGATGTTAAGAGAGTTGAAAAGAAGTATGTCGAAATGTTCTCTAAATAGTAAATTTCTTAAAAACCTACGCCTCACATATATTTTAGTCCCATATATACAGTTATGTTATGTAAATTTGTCTTTCGAGATCTGAATACAAATAAAACATCAAATCTCGTGAGGAGATTTAGTGCGGGTGCTGGTAGAAAAAAATCTTACTCATTTTAAATCTTGCTCTACAATAAGATTGATAAGAATAGAAGTCATTTGGGTACAAACATGTTCCCTACTTGATTTACTTTTTAAGCAAAGAAGTTCATGAATTTGGCTTGCAATTTCAAATTGAATAGAACGAGTCTTAAAAAAAATTGCGAGGATAGTATTTTTTCATAAAATTGACTCAAAATTTTAAATTAAACAAAACATGTTTGAAAAAGCAAGGATAGTAGTTCATGAATTTGACTTGAAATTACAAATTTAACAAAAAGTTGTGAAAAAAAAGCTTGGATAGTATTTTTTACATGAAATTGACTTAGTATTTCAAATCAAACAAAACGTGTTTAAAAAGGCATAGATAGTATTTTTCCATGCTTAAAATTTCAAATTGATCCAAAACGTGTTTAAAAAAGCATTAAGAGTAGTTCATGAATTTGACTTAAGATTTCAAATTGAACAATTTAGTCTAATAAGTTGAGTTTTTTATCATGAATGCAGTATTTGAAAACAAATCCATATTTTATCATTACTGTCCAGAAAAACTTTAATGCAAATATTTAAAACAATCTCAAGTTAATATTTCTTTCTGAATAAAAACTTATAAGTTTTTGGTTAAGCAACAATATAAAATAGACAAACATTTCTTTTAAATTAAAGAAAGACACATGTCCTACATGTTTTTAAGGAAATCATTCAAAAACTTGTATATAGAGAATGACCATTTTTCTGCCAAGTATAAGAATTTATAATAAATTTAGAAAAAAACATTTCCAGGGATAAGATATTACTTGTCATTTATGTCTAATTGATTTTTTTTTTCGGAGTTATTGGCCCTAGTTCTATTCACGTCATTTGCAATGAATTCATTTTGGTGTACGAGTGTAGATTATTTAAACAAACAAACGGTTTGTTTAAACAAATTACTTATTGTTATCTCGACATACTCTAAAACAACTCTGGAACACGTCAATGATGTTTTCATTACACTAGAGGAATTTAGATAGAGGTGCATAATTAATAGGAAATACATACTTCAAACCAGTTAGTGAATAATTTCTTATATGTATTTTAAATCAGCCGAAGGAAAAGTTGGTTGGTTTTTGGTAAAGATCGGTCAAGACGTGTTTTCTTTGAAATAAGTGAAACTTTGCATAGAGTTAAAGTGATTGTCTAGTCTACATTCAAAAATGCCAGTTACACCTAAAGTTAGATGATTAGAATCACTACAAAAGAATGCCATATTTTTTATATCAACCGCAGGTGTTTTATAATATATATATCTTTTATAATGATTTCTCCGAATTCGAATTCCGCGAACAAAAACCATGACACGTCTTGTCTTCTTTGGAAATCTTTTATTCACCATTTTGCATTTCTACCAAGACGGTGTGAATAACCTTTCCTGGCAAGACTAAGGTGCAACTAATGTGGAATTTAAATTTATTTGTACACTGAGGGTGTAATAAAATTGCATTATTATTCTTAAACATAAAGTACTCAGGAGAACATTAAAATAATCTCAAGTTACTACATATTTCTGACAAAATTATATAAGTCCTTATTCTGCCAACAAACATTATAAAAAAGTCAAAAGTTTATATTAACTATGCATTAGAAAAAACTAGTAAAATGTAGAGAGTAGTCCATTATAATAAATTTAGGGGAAAAAACATTTTTTGGGACAGAATTTCACTAAACTCACCCTCTACATTTTTCTAGCTTCTTCAAATATTAGACAAGTTACATTGTTTTATAATAATTTTTTTTTAAATTCTAAATTTCTTAATTATCTATAAATATAATAGTTTTATTATTAATATATAATATTATACTTATTGATGTACAGAACAGGTGCTTTTTTAAAACTATTACAAATATTTATCTGGTTAATAGAATAATAAATCATTATACTTTCCCATTTTCCTCAAATATTAGACAAGTTACTGTTCTTTTCTTTTTTTAATTTTTAATACAAAGATGAACTATATTGAGTCAATAATTGTCTATAATTGTTTATTTATTGTTTATATTACAATTCAATACAAATATTCAATAATTTTATAATAAATGGTTAACGTTTGTATGTCAAGGACTTTATAGAGATATCTCTATAATTGCTATCAAGTGACTCATTATTCTGTTGACCAATATTATAAAACAGAGAAACGTTTATAATATCCAGGAAAAAATATGTTTACGAGATTTTAGAGCAAATTTGAATGTGCATTTGTTTATTGTGTGAAGAACCAAGGAAAATGTATAAAAAAAATCATTATTCTGTTTGATTAGATGGATTATTAAAATAAATGTAAGAGTGACACATGTATTGTATTAAAAAGCTCAGTCAACACATTTGTTTACTTGTAATAAATCCAAGAGATGTATAAAATTTATACTAAAATTCAAAAAAAAGAGAAACATATGTTCTGCGTAATTTTAAAGAAATCTGCCATAAATCAGGCTATAAAATGTAACTTGTATAATATTTGTAAAATCTAAAAAAAAATGGAATAAATTTAGAGAATTTATAAACCCTGGATATATTTAAGGCCACCAAATTAGGAGAAAAAGGAGGAAACTTCTCTGAAATTCCAAAACACTGATATTCTTTTTTGGAGGAATAAATATTTATAATATAGTTAGGGAAAACACATATCCAAGATATATTAAAAGGATATTAATAACAATTTAGGAAGTGTGATTGAAAAACGAAGTGACTTGTCTAATATTTAAAGTAACCAGAGAAAAAGTAACAACAGCATTTTTGACCAGGTAAATATTAGTAATAAATTCAGGACAAACATAGGTCCTGTATATATTTAAAGAGATCAACCATAAATTAGAAAAATATGAATAAATAAGGATTTATTCTTTTTTAAATGAAACAAACTGAAAAAATGTAGAGAATGAGTGATTTTTTAGCCCAAATAAGGATGAATAAATAATCTAGGAAAAACATATGCCCTGCTTAAACGTATTTAAAGACATCACTGTCAATTTAGGAAAATGTGATTAAGAAAGGAAGTGACTTGTCTAATATTTGAAATAATCAGGAGCAAATTACACAATGAGGCTTTTTTGACCAGATGGATATTTATAATGAATTGAAGAGAGAAATATGTCCTGTACCTATATAAGGAGATCAATTATAAATTAGAAAAATAGGAATAAAGATTTAATTTTTTCTTAATTCGAAGAAACTAAAAAAATGTAGAAAATGAGTGATTTTTTTGACCAAATAAATATTTATAATAAATCTAGGAAAAACATATGTTGTCCTGCCCATATTTAAGGACATCTCTGACAATGTGGGAAAATTTAAACCAAAAAGGAAGTGACTTATCTAATATTTAAAGTAACCAGGAAAAAAGTAAAATATTGTCAGAAAAATAGCTTTAACTTCTCTCAAATTTAAAAATGCTCGTAAAATGTAGAGAATCATTATTTTGTTGACCAGATCAAAAAAATTTATAATTCATCAGTTAAAAACACGTGTCCTGCACACTTTTACGAAAATCAGTCACAATACAAGAAAATCTATACAAATATGTGTGTGTGTATGTATATAATTTGAATTAGGATAAAATATTACCAAAGAAATAAAATGCAATAGATATATGTATTTTATGATATTTTATAAAAGAAAAAACAGTTTGCTTTATTTACAGATTTTTCATCATTCATAATAATTTGGTGAAATAATTCTACTCTATAAACAACGCCAGAAATGCAATAGAATTATTTCATCATATTGTAAATAATATAAAATCCATTTGCTCTTATTTCTCATATTAATTATTCTTTTATAATATATAAATATATATATATATATAAATATATATATATATATATATATATATATATAAGCCAAATTATACCCATATTATACCCAAGCCAAAGTTACTAACCTTTCAGGTCCTTTTTAAAAATCACAAAACTCTATCACAGACTTTAGCATAAATACTATCTAAATTTTTTGTTAACCAATTATCAGTCTTTTTTATTTAATAAATTTCACAATTGTATCTTTATTATTATAAAAGTAGAAAAATTTCGAGTTGGAAATATTGCATTTGCCTTCTTGGCAATTCACAACTGCGTGCATGGAAATACCATGGAGAGAAGGGACGAATGGTAAAAGAACTACGTGCCATATGTCGAGGGGCAGGGGAGGAAAACTTAAGACAAATTTAATAAAAACATTTATATGAAAATTATAGAATTTTAATTTGTATTTGTAATGCATACCTTGGAGTAGTGTGATAAGGTTCTAGAAAAGATAAAAGCAATAGGTAAGTTATCAAATGAATAAATAAAGGGATTATTATATAGCAACTAAGAGAAAGAGCTATCAGAGTATGAATCAGAGATATGGACTCTAAGGAAGGCCTATAGAAACCTGTATCCTGAATCGAATTGAAGATAGTTTTAAATTGCTCAAGAAGACTGAAGATTGATAAGGTAATAAATATTCCTAAACAAACCACATTTCCTAGGCCTATAATATTTTAGAATGGAGGTTCAAACCAAGTTTCTTTAATTATAAAGAAACGACCCAACCGATCTTTGCAAAAAATTAATGAGCGCGATGCCCCACTGACTTGCGTCATACAAACGCTTATAATAGACAGGGTATCTCAGAACTCAACGTCAAGGCAAAACGTGCCAGAATAATGACACAATCGTCTGAAGTTTTCAAGAATTAAGGTTTTTGTTAATTTTAAATGTTCAAAACTAGTTAACTTTGAAAGTCTTCTCTTGAAAAATATGTAGTAAAGTGTGTTGGCAAGTTTCATCAAAAGTTGGCGAATTTATTCAGGATTGTAAAATGGTAAAATACTTGATAGTTTCATGATAAAAAAAAATCGAATATCCTAAAAGTATCAATTCTGGGAAACCCCGTATATATATAGTTAAAAATATTATATATTAATTATACTTTTCGAAGCTTGATGTATGTCATCACTCAGCAAATCAACCAGGACAAAAACAAAAACTTAACATAGGTAACTTAACATAAAATTAGTTTTAAAAAAGATATTTTTTATTACATTTCATTAACTAATGCAATTCTGAACTGATAAACATTTGCTAGAAGGTATCATGCCCTCTGCTGTATTATTTATTTAAAATTTTTAGTTGTATGGATTTTTCTTATAAAAGTTTCAAAAATATATTTTTTAAAACTAGGTCTAGTGTTTTTTTTTATTTTTTGGTGTTACTTTTCTCTCGAAGAATTAATAAATAATATTTTTCTTATAACTTTTTTTATTTTGACGAATGGGCTGCTAATTATTTTAATTATGTCGATAAAACTATCAAGATATATATATTAGGGTGGTCCTTAGAATGGATATTCTTAAGACCTCAAAAGCTTCCAAATTGATAAACGAAATTCTCTGAAAGTTTTAGCTCTTAATATCAACTTTAAGGTAGTCCTCAATCCAAACAAAGTTTCCTAGTTCTTCTTCCTAAGTAAATAGTTATTTTATAAAATATATCAAATTTTTGTTGTAATTTTATTATTTAAAATCCAAAAAAGCAAGTACAATACTATTCTAAAAAATTTGATTCACTTCTCGCTAAGTTATAAACCAAATAGAATTCTACCCATGTTATTTCTATAAGAAACTTTGGTCGGAGTGCAGACTATCTTAAAGTTAATATCAAGAGCTGAAATTTTCAGAGATTTTTTAATCAATTTGGAAGCATTTGTGTCCCTGGGAGCAAGAAAATTCACAAAAAATCCATATTAAGGACCACCCTTAATAACTAATAATATATTTTCTTAACTATCTCACCTCGGGTTCCTCACCTCTGTCCCTTCGCCCGAACGAGACAGAACAACGTGGACGCAGTAGTGTTATCATGTCGGGCCTCGGGGCAGAATTTTTGTTTGAACTCCGAGAGACTCCGTCAGAGAACTCAGAACTGGTTTCAGTTTTCGTGCCGAGCCAGCTATAAAATATAAAATACAAAATATAAAATAAAATATTCAAACAAACGCATTCAGCTGAATGGGAGGGAATGGGAATGCATCCCGAATGGACGGAAACCGAAAAGCTCGGCTCAGCGAAAATATTATGGTGACAAGTTTGAATTGATTAGAGAAAAAGACTACTTTCTAAATTTTTTTATGATCGAATTATATATGAAACGATGTTAGATGACTTTAACGACTTAATTCTACGAATTCTTAATACTACACAGAGAGAGATTTTTTTACATTGTTAGAAGCTCGTTTCATCTCAATTTTAAAATCTACGCATTTTTTTTAAATATATTAAAAAATAAGATTTTAAAAATGCAGATTTTTGACCAGAAAGAAAATTTTTACACTTTTTAAAATCTGCACAAACACAAAATTTTCTTTTTAAATATATGAAAAAATAGGATTTTAAAAATGCAGAGTTTTGACCAGAAAAAAATACACTGTAGATATTTATAGATATATAGATTTATCTCAATGTTAAAATCTACACAAAAATAATTTTCATTTTAAATATTTAAAAAAATAGATTATTAAAAATGTACATTTTTTATCAAAAAGAAAAATTTTGCAAATGCTCGAAGTCCATTTCATCTCAATGCTAAAATCTACATTTTTTTAAATTTATGAGAGAAATAGAATATTTTAAATGCGAATTTTTGATCTCTATAAAGTATCAATATCTTGTTTTTAATATAAAATTTAATATTTTGTCACATATAGAGATGAACTTGTTTTAAAATCAGATGTTTACTTCAAACTAATTCTTAAAATCTACAGAAAAATAAAAGTTCATTTTAAACTTATGAACCAAATAAAATATTATAAATGCATCTTATCTTTTTTTCTTACTATGGAGCAACCAATATATAAATAATTATTTTTTTTATATAAAACTCAATAATTTATCACATATAGAGGGATAAACTTGTTTTTAAAGTATATGTATATTCCAATAATAAAATATTTTAAATATTATATTAATTTGTTACACTCCTATAGGTTTATTTCTGTTCTATCAAAATAAAATTCTTTTTTAAACATATGAAAAAAAATGTTAAAAATGTACATTTTTGATTACCATAAAGTTCATATTTTAAAATAGAATTTTTCTTAAATATAAAAGTTAATTTTTTGTTATATATAAAAAGATGAATTTGTTTTAGAATCATATGAAACTCTGTTAAATGTTTATGTTAAATCATTTTTTAAAATTTACTCTAACATGAAATTCTCTTTTAAGAATACAAAAAAATGTTAAAAATGCACATTTTAGTTATAATAAAGTTCTAATTATGAATCACCAAAATCCAAATTTTATTAAAAATAAAAATGAGTTCTGGAGTTGCCTTTTGTTCCAAAAAATAGAGAAAGTAGACTAGTAAAATTGACAAAGTTTCACAAGCCTATAATATTTTAGGATGTTCGTAATAAAATAATGGATTACGAAGAAACGGCCCGGCCGATCTGTACAAAAATTAAGCAAAACGGTTTTTAATTTGAGCAATTTTTTAAAATTCAAAATCCGTTAAACCGGTTGACCAAAAATTTTGCACTTTTCTGCATTAAAATATCAAAATCTAGTTTTTATAAATAAAACTTGCATCATTAATTTGTTACAAATAAAATTGTAAAGAAAAAATATAAATAAATTTATTTTAAAAATATATAAATATTTTTAAGTTAATAATTAATTTAATTAAATGAAATTTTCATCCACTCATATATATATATATATATATATATATATATATATATAATATTTTATAAAAAAAATATGAATATAATTTGCCCATAAATAATATAAATAGGCTCTATTTATATTATTTATGGGCAAATTATAATCATAATTTTCATTATATATACATATATATATATATATATAATATTTTATAAAAAATTATGAATATAATTTGCCCATAAATAATTTAAATAGGCTCTAATGGATTTGAATTTACTTTCAATATAGTAAGACTAATAGTAGAAATAGTAAGTTGACTTTTGTAAAGTTTAACACCAGGAAATATATTTTATTTTATAATTTTAATTAATAGTTTTAATAAAGATATAAAATTTATGAAACAAATAATACAAAGAAAACTGCAAAATTAAAGACTACCTACAATTATCTAGCATAATATTAAAAAAAATAACTAACACTAATAATCCATGATGTAGGAATATTTTTATGGGAAACAAATTGTGTAAGTATCTTTTACAAGTTATTTTGTACTTTCTTTAAGTCTTAAGTAATTTTCCACTGAATAAAAGCCAAAACTGTAGCCAAAACGTAGAAAAGTATTAATATATATGTTTCTATAATAAAAGTGCCAATAATTAGCAAAAAAGGAGCTCTAGCACGCCATTCAAAGTCATATTTTAACATACATACACATAAATATTTCCTTTACCCATACAAATATCATTTATTCATTTTCTCGGTCTGTTTGCGCCTGATCGACAAGCAACAGTATCATTTTGATAACGAAACCTGAAGGTTATACACGGCGGAATAAAATGACGATTTATTACAAAAATAATCATAAAATATATTTTTTTAACGTAAACAAACCTTCGGCATAAAACTATTTAAAATATTTGTGAATTTGTGATATAAATTTGAAGGAAAATGGATGAGAAAACTATAGATTCGATATTCGCGGGCAGTTTGAAAAATCTGCCGCCCGTTAGTTCGAAAATTGTGCGGATTTTTACCAGCTCCACTTTTACCGGTAAATAGAAATAAAATTAATTAAAATAATATATATATATATATATATATATATATAATGTAGATCTTTAATTATTATGGTATCCACTTTAAACTCTAATTTCTAGAGATGCATTTTGCTAGTGAAACTTTGAAACTTACACAAAAGTTCTCTATTAAATAGTTAAGATATTATATATTAGTCCAATATATAAATTTCAACTTCGATTATAATAAATAATTTATTTTTGTTTAAAAATTTATCTTTAAAAGTCAATTATACATTTTTATTATTATTTCAAAAAATAAACTTACCATATAGATTTCATTCCTCCTTCTATCGAATAAATCTAATAATTTTTTCATTGTTGTTGAGTCCTTTATAATTTCATTTTTAATCCTTGCTTGTTGAATTAAAACCTAGAGTTATATATAATTATTACTGGCATGCCTTAAATAATTGTAAATTTAAAATTTTTATTGAAGTAAATTATGAGTAATAATGTTTAATTAATTATTGTCTTCAGATACTACAATGGAAAGAAATACTTTAATGGCAAAATGTTATCCAAAGATCAAGGATTACTGCAGAGAAAAACATGGATTAGAATTTCAAGTAAGTAATAAATAAATAAATGAATAAATATAGATGTATGAAACTGTTTTTTTTTCTTAAATGTGCCAAAAACAAAGTGAGAATACTCAGTAGAAGAAAATTATTAAAATTTGTGCATCACAACTTTAGAAATTGAATATTTTGTTAGCTCATTAATAATAATATAATTGATCTTATGATATATAAAATAAAATATAAAAATGGCATTTTTTAAAGAAAGAAACAAACAAAAAATAAGTATATAAAGGTATCAAATATAATTTTATTTATAAAATATATAAATATATTTTCTTAGACCAGATTTTGCAAAATAAATAAAATAACTTACCAGTATTCGTGTTTTCATCCAGCAATAATGAAACCCAGTAAAAATGTCACATATCTTCTTTATTCATTATTTAACTAGTTACCACTTTTTTTTTATTAATTATTTAATTAGTTGCAAGTCGCCATTATGCAAAACATCTGTCAACTGTAAAAAATAATGCGAAAATTAATAGTAATTAAAATGCGCTAAAAATTAATTGGCATGAAAAATAATTAAACAAATCTAGCAATTGAATTGAAGCAATTGTTCATCCAGCAATAAAATTGAACATGTTGCCTTCATTATTTAGTGAAAACTTATAATAGATATGGATCGCCATTTTGCAAAACTGTTGTGCACTATTTACAACAATTATGTAAACTTTAATATTGACTAGTAATCATTATAATAATTTACATATATAAAGAATAGTTGCAATAGCAATACTAAAACAAATATAGTAATAAAGATAAAGATAGTAATATTTAAAATATACCACATCCAAACTCCAAAGTGACGTTTAACGTTTTTTTACAAATTTCAATCCACACTTATTCATACATATAAATAGGTTTATAGGTCAAAAAGTTTACAATGTAGGCCTTAAACGAAATATGATAGCAATTATCGCTTTACACATGAAACATTGATTTCAGAACTTAATTTTAGATTTACTGTTCGTGTCAGTCCCAGTCCATGAAGACGTTAATTAAGTTCGCACAACTTTTCAACGAGGTGTCATTACCAACATAAAAAAATGATGTCAAAAAATAGACAAGAAATTTTTAAAAGCTTTGTTGGGAAATAATTGTGCATAAATTTGGCACAAAATAATTATATAAATATGCATATAAATATATTTATATGTATTATATGTATGTATATATATATAATCGAAATGGTTTTCATCGCTTTTCATAGACAACAATAGGCATGAACTTGGTACCAGTCGGTGCCATGGTACGGAAACCTTTAACATTGCACGACCTATAGAAACTACAGTGTCGAAATCGAAAATTAATGAAGCAAACTATTTTAATTTACAATACCTATTATTATTGAACAGAATTGAACTGTATACAATCATGAAATATGTATATACAGACTCAAATTAGATACAGAATGATTTTCAAATAACATTCAGCTAAGCATAGATAAAAGAAGAGTATCATCAATTATACGGACACACTTTTTCCAATTTTTAGTCAAGAAAACATAAAATAAGCAAACCAGATTTTCTGGCAAAAAAACTTTTCCTTCACAAGTTAAAAAGCATATGTAGTGTTTTAAATAAGAAAAATCTTACTTGTTTTTTTTTTTTTAATAAATAATAAAGTTGCAGCGATAAGAACGTATTTTATCATTATTTATAAAGCAAAATTTGTAGTTTTTTGTAATAAAATTATTTTTAATTTGTTTAAATTATGAGTCCGCCTCTGATCATTTGCAGAGGTGATGCGGCATTTAGTTTTGAAGCGCCTGCACGAAAAGATTTAAATCTTCACGACATATATATATATATATATATATATATATATATATATATATAAATATATATATATATAAGTATATATATATATTATTATATATATATATATATATATATACATATATATATATATACATTACTAGGTTTAACTTTGAATTTTAATATTTATTAAAAATTTGTATTTAGAATTAATTCTTTCATTTATTATAAATGGCTGCTAAGACTTCCTAAAAGGTATTCCGAAAGAGAAAGTAAAGCCATTTTAAAATAATACTAAACTAAAAACAAGTATTAATCACAACTTTTGTTCTCACGATAAGTTCCACACCAAGTTTCACACCAAATATGCTACAAGCTGATTAAACTTCTCAAATCCTGTTTGACCAGTCTCTGAATCCGAGACCAACATTGACAGAGAAAAAGAACATTGCAATTGAAAATGAAAATGATTCTACAAAAACAAATATCAAATATTGCCTTAGCTAATTCAAAGTTTTCATCACACTAACAATAAATTCCAAAGGCACAAGCTGGTGAAACTATTGAAATTCTGGTCCAGATACTTAATTTATTCAAAATTATTTGTACTATTCACTGAACTACTTCTGTTATTGACTAGAAATGATTCTAATGACTTCCTAAGGGTAGTCTAAAAAAAAACCTACTATCGTCAACATATTTCCTATATCTTTATCCATTAATTTATTATTTTCTCCCAGGTGGTCGACATGAGATGGGGCGTAAGAGATGAAGCCACAGACGATCACATGACAACCGAATTGTGTATGAAAGAAATCGAGAACTGTCAGAGATTATCAATGGGGCCCAATTTTGTGGTCTTTCTGGGACAAAAATATGGGTACAGACCTATTCCTACCTATGTGCTGAGTTCAGAACTACAAATGCTTCGAGATGAACTTGGTAAAAGAGTAGTTTGATTAAAATATAGAATGTGATAATGGTTTTTATATATTTTTTAGCAAATTCGGGTGTGGATGTCCAATTGTTGGATACTTGGTATAGAAAAGATGGCAACGCAGTTCCTCCAGTCAGTGTTTTGCAGCCGATTTCAAGTATTCTGATCAATTTCAATAATAAGGTAAGAGATTAAAGATTTGTTAACAAATTATGAGCACCAGAATAGTTCCTGACCAAATGACTGATTTTTTTTTTCAGAGAGTTCCTAAACTACAAGCTGAAGATCAGGCAATATGGTGGGACACTTTGAACAAAATGCAGAAGTTATTCAGAAAAGCAGCAAGCACCTTGTACAACGCTGGAAAAATTGACAAAGACACAATGCACAATTATTTTATGTCCGGTAATTGATTTGAAAACTTAAAAATATGACAAAATAGTCATTTATGTCTTTTTCCTTTCAAGTTACTGAACGTGAAGTGATAAATGGTATCCTGAATGTAAAGAACACCAAAAACCATTGCTTGGCTTATGTCCGGTACATTAACAACATAAATCTCCAGAATTTGAAGAAGGCTGGTCTTTTTATCGACATTTTGAACAGAAGTCTGGACACAGAAGCATGCAAACTACTTGCCAATTTAAGAGACGAGAGGTTACCAGATAAAATTGAAAGCACAAACATCCAAAAGTACGACAACAAGAGTAATAGTTATTTACTAAAAACTCACCTTCACTTATCTTCTTTTATTCCAGGTATACTGTAGAATGGATTGGAAGAGAAGGCCTTGACACAGAAACCCACGATGCCTATTTACAAAGTTTCATTTGCCATTTCTATAAAAATATCTTGAAACTTGTGGACCGTGCCATGAGGAAAGAAGACAGCAGTGCTCAAGGGCAAATTGTTACTGAGATACTGCAACATCTACACGCTTGCAACAACTCTGTCAAGGTGGACTGGAAAACACCATCTAAAAATATAAAAAATAATAACTTATATGTTTCCAGGTGTTTTATGGAAGAGCAGATGATCTCCAAAGAGTGGAGACTTACATGTTAGATCCTGATGCAGATAAACCTTTGGTCTTGTACGGAGCTGGAGGTTGTGGCAAAACGTCCCTGTTGGCCAAAAGTGCAGCCATGGCTAACACGGTTTGGTTTGCAGATGTTAAACCAGTAAGCATTGTTAGATTTTTAGGAACTACACCAGATTCCAGCGCCTTGACACCAACGTTGATATCCATCTGCCAACAGGTAATAATAATGTTATATAATAAAAGTACATATCACAAAATATTCTTTCTATTATATTTTTTTAGATATCCTACAACTACATGTTGCCTTTTGACAACATACCAGACGACCTGGTACCGTTGACAGCCCATTTCAAGCATTTACTTACCTATGCTAGTCATGAGCAACCGTTGATATTTTTCCTGATTCTGTGGATCAATTGACAGGCGTGCAGGATAACAGAGTGTCCTGGTTGCCTACCAGATTGCCACCACATTGCAAGGTAAACCTATAAAAGATTAGTTTATTTATTATAATTGTTTTTAATTAATTGCTTTGTGCAGTTGATGGTGTCAACAGTTGCCGAAGAAAACAACATGAACGTATCAAGAGATTATCACATATTAAGACGAATGATTGATGATGAACAGAATTTCATTGAAGTTAAGGCTTTGGGAGAAGATTTGGCTATGGAAGTAATAAGGTATAAATACTTATTAATCAAATGGTGGTACATTTTCCCGATCAACTAAATATTTTCTTTTTCAGGATGTGGATGAGAACAGCCTGCAGGGATTTAAACAACTACCAATGGCGCCTAGTGTCCAACGCAATTGGACAATGTTCTCTGCCAATTTTCGTTAAACTGGTCTTCGCCGAGATTTGTCGTTGGAGAAGTTACACCAAGCCGACAGAGACACACTTGGCCAACAATGTCATGGACTCCATCATGATGCTCTTTGAACGAATAGAAAAACAAGTGGGTTAAAATCAAAACAACATGATAAAACAATGGTAAAACACATGTGTTTATATTACAGCATGGAAAGATATTGGTGTTCCACGCTTTGGCATACATCACGGCTTCCAAAAGTGGTTTATCAGAAAGCGAGCTGGAAGATTTGATATCTCTGGATGATAGGGTATTGGATGATGTGTACCAGTACCATTTGCCACCAGTCAGGAGAATTCCACCTTTGTTATGGACGAGAATTAGAAATGATTTGCCTAATTATCTTAGTGAACGGGAAGCTGATGGAGTCAATGTCATGAACTGGTGAGAAAACTACATTCTTGGAAATAATTCATACCACTGTGTACGGTATAATTTTTTTCAGGTATCACAGACAATTCAGAGACACTGCTAAAGAACGTTATTTCAAAAATATGAACATGGCTTTATATTTCCATTCATCTATAGCTGATTACTATTTGGGCATTTGGGGAGGCGGTGTGCCTAAACCTTTCAAATTCACAGAAATACAAAGACACAGGTTAAAATTATATCACAAGATTATTCAGACAACTTTTGTTAACATATACAATATTACTTAGGTTCAATTTAACTGATAAAGAAGGTGTTGCTGATCGAAAGTGCCTGTGCAACCTTTGGTGTTTTTGTCCAAGGAAGGAAAGGTCACCCGGTATAACTTAAGAAAGGTAATAATACAGCCACAAGTATTTGATTTGAGCCAAAATCTATGGTTTATATTTTATAGTTTGGTGAATTGCCTTACCATTTGGTGAGAGCACGCAGATTCAAGGATTTGTATTCAAATGTTTTGTTCAACTACGATTGGCTTCATGCAAAACTGTCAAGTTGTCCTCTGCAAGCAGTTCTCTCAGATTTTGAAGATGCTTCAGTAAACACAGACGACAAAGACTCTAAAAGGTAAATGAATATATAACCAAAACCAAGCAATTTATTTTCTATTTTAAACAATTTCTAGAGAATTAATGTTGGTTGCTGACGCCTTACGTTTGGGTGGTGCAGTTTTGGCTGCATATCCTGATATGTTGGCTCCACAACTAGTCGGTAGACTTTTACCAGAAATTGGTGGAAATCCCAATGTGAAGTAAGTACGTTCATAAACAATGATTCCTTTTATGTCTAATATTACTGTCGATTATAGGATGTTGTTAAGTGCTTGTGACTCTTGTGGACCACGACATTGCGCTTTGATACCTCTATATCATTGCTTGCACACTCCTGGCGGACCCTTAAAGGTAACAGTAATCAATTCATTAGTAGATCTATGATTTTACCAGCATGATAAAATATCTATGATTCTTTCTTTAGTACTCCTTGGAAGGTCATCAGTTTGCAGTGTTTGCATTTCGTGTCACGTCCGATTTTCGTTACATAGTCTCCATATCCACTCGATTTGTGACTTGGGATCTTGCCACAAGTGACATGACACGTGATGTAACACCAGGAGTCGAAGGAATAATGCAGCAACTGGTGCTAAGCCCTGATAACAAATGGGCAGCAGCATACACCAACAATAATGAGGTAGAAGATAAAATACTTGATATACATATGTATCTGTATATAAATATATATTTATTACCTCAGACAGTGCTCTCCTGAACATGCTCTCAAGTGAATTCATAACAATACCCAATCCCTTACAAGAAGACGAGTCTGTCACAGGATTGTGTTTGTTGAATCATCAGCACCTGAAATTCATGGTTCCAGAACATGGGTTCGATATTCCACCAGAGGTGAACTTGAAGACACGAAAACTGTAATACCTAAAAAAGAAGAGTCTGTTGGTGAAGAAGAACAAGGAGAAGAATGGCAAATATTGAGTGAGTAAAAAATACTAACTTGCTAATCCAATGAGATTCTGTTGGCTGCAATATAAAAACACCTGAAGTTTGGAAAATCATAAACCGGTTTATTAGGATTTTTTTATTATATTTTTTCCATATATATACATGTTTTGGTACAATATATTTTATTTGAACATATAGAAGTATATATACATAACCATGCATATATACACACTCTCATACACACACACATTTATATTCTATCATCATTTATACTCAGTTATTAGCTTATATATGCATTTATATATATATATATATAATATATATATATATTTATATATATATATATATGTATATCAATATATGATATTATTTTTCTGAACTAAAAGTCTCTTTTCAAAATGTTTCTGTTTTAATTTGTCATTTATAATTATTTCAACAAAAATAACTTAATTTAATGTATTGAAACAATTTTGATTTAACATTTTGAAGGTAAAAAGTAAACTCTTCTTAATTAAAGATAATTTAAAAAAAGTATGAACATATAAAAAAAAATGTTTGTTTTTAATAGTTCTTGAAGGAGAGTGTATACCTCCGAAACATAGAAATAATTATAAATGAAAAATAAATAACGTTTTTGAACGAAAACAGGCTTTTAGCACAGAAAAATAAACCATTAGCCATTTATATATATTTATATATATATATATATATATTATATATATATTGTATATATATATATATATATATATATATATATATATAATATATATATATATCTATATAAATTTTAATTATCACAAAAAGATCAGAAGTATTATTTAAGAACGTTAAGATATATACATTCATTCGTATATAAACAAATTAATAAATACAATTCCAAGCAAGTCAAATTATTATTAAAAAAATTACTTGTGAATAATGAATCACAACACTTTAAAACAATATTAATAATGGCTAAAAATTGATAAGTACAGACTTGTATTCCCACAATACGTACAGAAAATAAAAAATTTAAGCTTTAATCATTCCCCGCAATCCATATGGTCATCCTCGTCTCCATGTTTTTTGACTTCAATTTGGAAATATTCTGATTAGTTTGATCGTTCTCGTACTCTACAAAATCATCAAATAAACTTGGCCGGCCAGGCTTCGGTGTCATCGTATCCACTTAAATCACTGCCAACAGTCTCTGAGAAGTTTAAGAACATGTACCAAGTGTCTTTGGGTATACCCCGAACATTTGGATGCTTTTCTAAGTATTCGAGCCACTTTTGCAAAATTGGCGGTTCGCAGATTGTAAACACTAGTTTCCATAACAAAACAGCCATGTCTGAAGGTAAATACGTTGCCCGTTGGCCACATCCAACCCAAATCTAAAAGTGAACCTGTACAAGCTTTTGAAATATTCAGGATTCCTTTCAACCTCTTGAACAAGTTCAGGCAGTTATGTTGAATAGATTTTATGCTATCGGCGTTCATTGATTTTAAACCTTGGGTAAACTCTTGTCTGGTAACTTGCACATCTGTTCGGCATCTAATTTCCATGCAAGCACTAAAATCCTAAAATCATCTGGTGCAATTTGTAAGTCGTTACAAAACTTTTCAATGCCTTCAGCTAAAATGGCGTCTTCGTTAGGATCTTTATAAAAATAAACAGTTGCATTATCTTAGCATCCGACGTGGTCTTTGATTGATCCAAGCCCATGTTGTAACCGGCTGCACTAGATTTAGTCAGTGACAAGGATGGAATTTTTTGATAGAAATTAGTTTTCAAACCTCCTGAGATTTCTGTGTTTTGCTGATACCTGCTCTCGAATGTGTTACCATTGCTGAGCTCGTGGAGAGTTACTTGTCTGCCTTCGGGCAGGGCTGTGGTTTCAAGCAATCCTGACATTTCTGGAAGAAGATGGATTATTCAATTAGTGGCATTTTGCCTTTAGGCAAGTTGCATTCAAGTTCCAAATAATCCACTTCAACAGTAACAACTGATACTTAGCTATTTACACAAAAATTTGAATTGCTAATTACAAAAAAAAGGTTCATGCTGTTGCTAAAATATTCATAAATACATTTTTTATTATCCAACCACTTTTCATAGACCTCTAATATTTCAGAATGTTTGTTTAGACATTGAACTTCATGACTGTGCAAATATTTACCTAAAAGTGATCTTTACTTAACACTTCTCCCAACTGATTTTATAGGAAAATGTTACACTTTTATGTTTATTGTAAAAAAAAGCCTTGGTTGATCGTCTTGCAAGAATAATCAAAGCAAGTCCTTATTGAATTTAATGGAATGACTTTAAAAGTTTTTAAATCCGTACAGCCTTTTTTGTAAAAACTTGAACAAAAGATCATTTGCCCATAAATAGTATTTTCAAATTCACTGGCAAACAAATCAGAATGATGTGAAACGTCAAGAAAACATAAATTAGCAAATAGAGTTTTCTGGCGAAAAAGAAAATCATACGAGGGAATAATTGTATGTACATATATACATTACCAATATCTTCTATGTGTTCCATAAAAATAAAATAATTTTTGAAAAACTAAAGAATTTATATTTTAATAAAAAAATAATTCTATTCAAATAAAAACAAAAAAATAAAAGTAAATACTGACTTATAAAAAATATAGAGCAACTAGATTGTTTAAAAAACTAATATTGGTTCACTTATTTTATAGAAATAACTCTATGCAAATTGTGTAATCAACTTAATTAATAAGAAATCAATATATTATTATTTTTGTATAATATTTTATATATTATTTTTCTCAATTTTGAACAAATTTGACCTACTATAAAATATATAAAAAATATAATTATGAAATTTTAGTTATTTAATGTCTTTGATAGACAAATTTAATATCTGAGCTAAATAACTTTTTTTCTATTATTACAATAATAATTCCTAAGCTCTTGTAAAGATGTAATTCAGCAAAAAGGCTGTGGGTCTAACAGATTATTATTTTGAATGATAATGATGCATAATAATTCTGGTAAATACATTAATTAATATTGTTATTATTGTGTTATTCACTTTATAAAAAATATGTGAAGTTTATGATGCTTATTGCTTAACAAAGTGCACACATCAGAATTTGTATAAAAATATTCATAATTTTTTGTAAAGAAGCAACATGTATCACCCATGACAATAGAAAAGCATTTAAAATATATTGTGGAATTAAATAATTCAACAAAATATTCATGAACACCTTTTGTACAAAGTATAATTTCAGAATACCAAAATGAATCATACTAGGATTCTAATCAATGATTGATATTGCAAGTTATAAGTTTTAAGTATAGGTTAATAATAATCTGTAAAACTCACAGCCTTTTTGGTATAAATTAAACCTTACGTGAGCATAGAAATCCTTACTGTAATACGAGAAATAAAGTTGTTGAACCCTGAAACTAAATCTATTAAAGTCGAATAACTAGAGCTTTATATTGATATTTCTTATATATTTAATAATAAGGCACGACTGTGAACCTATTTATTACTTCAGTATATTACTAAGTAGCTATTGCATTTCGGTTAATATAAAAAATATGAATTTTACCTTCAGATTTTTTCTCGAGTATTCCATGTTCAAAAGGCAACGAAGCTTCTTGTGTTTGTTCTAATTGAACTGAGGGCACTTTGAGACATGTCAAACAATTGCCCATTTGACCCAAAACTTGCTGATTTCATTAAAATAATGATATTTCTTAACGAAACATCAAGAATGAAATAATCTAGATCCTAGATAAATAATAATAATTATGATAATATTTGGCACGACACTCCACAATTGTTAAAAAGAAGGCCAGCTTCTGTCTTGTGAATCATATGACGTTTTCGGTGGAGAGAACATAGTTTAATTATGTTTTGGTGGTTTCATTTCTTTTGTTGTTCTTTATTGTGCAATAAAGAGTGCTAAATAAAGGCTTATTAGCTTTATTTAGAAGTCCTTTGTTTATATTTGCTAAAACATCGTTTTGACGTCTTGCTCGCAGTCTTTTCTCACAAACATAGAGACGACGAACACGTTACGAAATAGAGCGAATGCGTCTCTACAATACGGCAGTACCACCCACGAACATGCGAAGATGTATCTAAAACCAAAATCATTTCAAATTAATTCATATTTATATATTATTAGTTAATAAAATAATACTTACAGATCATTACACTACCATTTAATTAATTCTCATACACTCAAACAAATATATCAAATACTTTAACACTTGATAATGACTCACCCCACTTCACAGATGTTTACAAAAATACGTTAAAAGCACTCTTAAATAAATAAGCGCTAATTTTTTACTAAAATAATATTCAGAATCTGCTAATTTCACTTAAACTCTCATTATTTTAATATAATTAACAACTTTAATTGATATTTTTTAATTTAAAATGTCGAAAATAGAGACTATAAGAATTACATAAAATGGCGGTTTGACAGTTACCAGGATTAAAAAATACACAAAAAATTATATTTTTTACCTGTTATTGATAAATATTTATAACTTTCCCTATATCAGTGTAGAATAAAACATATAGCATATTTTTCTGGCCTAGTTAATTGATTTTTTAATTTGAAGCTGCTAAAAATAGAGACTTACACAAA